TATCCTCAAAAAACCTTTTTCTTTCCTGTATTCACTTTTAATTTTCTTCTTTTGCATACCCTACCAAATTCATCCACCAATCTCTGCAACTTCTCTTCAGAATCTCCCAAGAGCACAGTGTCATCAGCAAAGAGCAACTGTGACAACTCCACTTTTTTGTGTGATTCTTTATCTTTTAACTCCACGCCTCATGCCAAGACCCTCGCATTTACTTCTCTTACAACCCTATCTATAAATATATTAAACAACCACGGTGACATCACACATCCCTGTCTAAGGTCTACTTTTACTGGGAAATAATTTCCCTCTTCCTACATACTCTAACTTGAGCCTCACTATCCTCGTAAAAACTTTTCCCACTGCTTTCAGTAACCTACCTCCTATACTAAAACACCTGCAACATCGCCACATTGCCCCCTTATCCCCCCTGGTCATATGCCTTTCCAAAATCCATAAATGCCACAAAGACCTCTTTAGCCTTATCTAAATACTGTTCACTTATATGTTTCACTGTAAACACCTGGTCCACACACCCCCTACCTTTCCTAAAGCCTCCTTGTTCATCGCTATCCTATTCTCCGCTTACTCTTAATTTTTCAATAATAACTCTACCATACACTTTACCAGGTTACTCAACAGATTTATCCCCCTATAATTTTTGCACTCTCTTTTGTCCCTTTGCCTTTATACAAAGGAACTATGCATGCTCTCTGCCAATCCCTAGGTACCTTACCCTCATCCATACATTTATTAAATAATTGCACCAACCACTCCAAAACTATATCCCCACCTGCTTTTAACATTTCTATCTTTAATCCCATCAATCCCAGCTGCCTTACCCCCTTTCATTTTACCTACTGCCTCACAAAACTTCCCCCACATCTCACCCACTCTCTCATTTGCTCCTCTTTTATGAAATTTATAGTAATTTTACTTTTTTTTATGATGATAAAATTAGACACATGTGCAACTCTTGGTATCTTTATTGAGGAAACATTTCGCCACACAGTGGCTTCATCAGTCCATACAAAGGAGAAACTTAAAAAAACAGGAGGAGAATGAGGTAATCAGTCCCTCAGCCTTTGAGTCGATGTGGTCAGTCCATCAATCTTGAATAGAATACGGCAAATGAGCGGAGAAGCAGCTTATAAACCGTAGACAGGAGAGGTGCAGCAGTCGTAGGTTGTGTCACATTTGTCCAATGGGGAAAGTAGGTTCCTGCCCAAGGGTTAGGCAAGCGAAGAATTCCCAAGTATAAGATCCCAAGAAGTTGCAGTGTCTGACAGGATTTTTTGATGAATGGTTCACAGAACCGACACATTGAAAAAATTTGACACATGTTGCAACTTTTTTTTATGGTGGAGGGATGATGTATAAACTTCCAAGATTGATAGTAGTGGTTCAGAATAACTATTCTGGATCAGAGGAGCTGTAAAGCTCCACCAGCATCTACACTGAACTTCAGAACATAGCTGTTAGTTTGACCTTTTTCAAGGATATGATACACTGTTCCTTAACACCATATTCCTTGCATACTTGTGCTACTGAGATGCCAAACTCAACCACTTTTAAAAGCTGAAATTTCTGCTTAACAGTGAGAACCATTTTGTTTTCCTCTTGGCACACCACTTGCCTTAGAAGACACACCATACTTCACCCTCACACATGGCATTTTCCCTGCCTCCAACCTCCTCCTGGCTGCAATGTTTGAAACTAATGCTTCACACCCATATGACAGTGCTAGTGCCACGGTCCTTTAGTGCACTACCCTTTTGGCTCCATGGATAAAGTGCTTTGTCTCCACATATGCCTCAGTACACCACCAACCTTTTTCTTTTCTTCTATTCTTTGGTTTACATCATCTTTCATTGACCCATTCACTGACAGGTCCACCCCCAGATGTTTTGTATACGTATATATAATGTGCAATAGAGTATGTATGAATGCTTTGTAGATGAAGTACTTGAAGGATTGGAAGGGGTGATGTCTGGAACAGTTTTCCAAAGAATATGTGTCAAGGAGGGTGGTAAGTGTGGATTAAAAAGTAGTACAGAGTAAGTTTTGTTGTTTGTTGTACATAGTGAAAATAAGAAACCTGTTAGCTGGACTTGAGTCCTAGAGGTTGGAAGTACAGTGCCTGCACTCTCAAGGAAGGGGTGGAAATATGTTGGAGTTTTTGAACTGTAGTATCGGTGCTCCTCTGGGAAGATAGTGATGGAGTGAGTGATGATGGAAGTGTTTCTTCTTTTTCGGGTTACCCAGCCTTGGTGGGAAATGGCCTTTTTTTTTTTTTTAAAGTAACATGCTTTGAAAAGAATGCCCGCCATTTTGGAAAAATTTCTTAAATATGAGCTGAATATATTTGTTAAAATTTTAGTTGCTGTCAGGGTGAAAAAACTCAAGAATTTTCCTTTGTCTTGTCTTTCAGTGTACAGTGGTACCTTGACTTATGAGTTTAATTCGTTCCATGATCGAGCTCATAACTCAATTTGCTCATGTATCTAATCTAATTTCCTCATTGAAATAAATTGAAATGCAATTAATCCATTCCGGCCCCCAAAAGACAACCCCAGTTTTTTTGTTACGGTTTTAAAAAGAAAAATGTGTTTATAAAAAAGAGATAATGTTTGCATTTTTTTCCAAAGGGCCAGCAATGTTTTAGAAATGGTGGAGTATATATGAAACTCCTTGAAGCACGGTGTAAGATGAGTGTCACTCCACTCCTGACAATACAGCAGTGGAGTGACATTTGATGATTGTGCACTGCCTTGGCTTTATTTTTCACTGTTACACATAAACATGTCTGTCTATCTGTTTGTTTTTGTCTGTCTATTTGTCTGTCTAGCTCTGTCTATGTTTATCTCTGTCTCTGCTCATCTGTCTTTCTGTCTTCCTGTTTCTCTATTTGTCTCTGTATCAGAGAGAGAGCCACTCATGAACCAACAGGTACTATACACTATGCAGAATCATCACGTCTAATTCCTGAACAAGTGAAAATGTGTATTACTTGCCAGTCATGTTTATTATGCCTTATATCTACAAACGTAGTATAGCACTTTGTCTGGATTTTTTGGATTTTCCTAGGTAATTTACACTATGTACTGTATAACTGTATTTATGTGTACCTGTGAGATAGAGACAGAGATAGACAGACATAGACAGAGACAGAGATAGAGACACAGATAGACAAAGACAAAGATAGATACAGACAGACAGGAGATAGAGACAGCCAAAGCAAATCAGCCAGTCGGCCAGTCAGCTGGCCACCCAACCAGCTGGCCTGCCGAACATGTATTACACATGTTCCAGAATCGTTTCTCTTTACTTAGGGTAAATGTTACAGAACATTCTGGCAGGATAACATTACCAGTGGTATCAAAATTGAAAGGATGTTACACATTGGTTATTTTCGAGGCTTTTGATATTTCCTCGGTATCTCCTGCAAATGGCGGTGTATCTGAAGCTCGCTTGTAACTCGGATTTTGGCTTGCAACTCAAAGCAAAAAATCAACCGAGCGACGGCTCATAACTCGGAAAACTTGTAAATTGGGACACTTGTAAGTCAAGGTACCACTGTATGTATTATTTATCTTAATGTTTAGTTGTATACAGTGGACCCCCGCATAACGATTACCTCCGAATGTGACCAATTATGTAAGTGTATTTATGTAAGTGCGTTTGTACGTGTATGTTTGGGGGTCTGAAATGGACTAATCTACTTCACAATATTTCTTAGGGGAACAAATTTGGTCAGTACTGGCACCTGAACATACTTCTGGAGTGAAAAAATATCGTTAACCGGGGGTCCACTGTATTTTTAGCTTTATTCTAAAACATTAATAAGCAGGTCTTATCAATGTCTTACCAATGCAGTCCAAGCCAGTACCTTTTCTAGTTCTAGTATGCAAGTTATTCATAATGACTTTGATGGAACTTGAGCCTGATCTTGCCACAGACTTGTCACTGTGAGATTTGTCTGTAAAAACCTCTTAGTGTGTATAGACATAACACCTTGGTAAATGAATCTTATTAGACCATGGTGCGATTGCCTGCTAGTTTTAGCAATGGCTTGAGGTGGGTTTATACCCCAACTCTTTTCTGTAAATTACTAGTCATTGACAATTGTTTGTCTGATATACATGCAGGGTTATACAACTTAAAACATTTAGTTTTTCAATATTTCAGGTACTGTTATAGTTGAACATCTGCCAGAAATAACAATGATTGGCATAAACAGGCCAGAAAAAAGAAACTGTGTCAATTCTTCAACAGCAGCAGCTCTTCTGCAAGGCATGTAAATAATACAGTGTTTATAAAAACCGTGAGGCCTGGTCACAGACCAGACTGTGGGGGCATAGATCCCTGAAACCCTCTCCAGGTATACTCCAGGTATAGTAGTCTAAACTTTCTGAAAGCTTTGCCAGAAAGTTGAAAACCTTAACACACTTTATTTTACTTTTAAGCTGTCTTATACAGTACTTGTTCCTTTAACCCTTTCAGGGTTTCGGCAGTACTAGTACGGCTTATGCGCCAGGGTTTTTGACGTACTAGTACGCATAAATTCTAGCGTCCTCAAATCTAGCAAGAGAAAGCTGGTAGGCCTACATTTGAAAGAATGGGTCTATGTGTCCAGTGTGTGCAGTATAAAAAAAATCCTGCAGCACACAGTGAGTAATGGCCTGGTGGTTAACGCTCTCGCTTCACACGGTGAGGGCCTGGGTTCGATTCCCAGCCAGAGTAGAAACATTGGACGTGTTTCTTTCCACCTGTTGTCTATGTTCCCCATCAGTAAAATGGGTACCTGGGTGTTAGTCGACTGGTGTGGGTCGCATCCTGGGACACTGACCTAAGGAGGCCTGGTCACAGACCGGGCCGCGGGGGCGTTGACCCCCGGAACTCTCTCCAGATAAACTCCAGATAATAATGAGAAAAAAAAAACATTGACCATGCTTTTGGTTTAAAACAGCGACTTTGCACTGTATTTTTGTATGGTACTTATTGTTGTATTCTAGTTTTCCTGGTCTCATTGTATAGAATGGAAGACATGTTACAGAAATGGAGATGATTTTGACTGGTTTTACAATGAAAAGTACCTTGAAATTGAGCTCAAAGTAGGAGAAATGTTCGATTTTTACCAAAGTTCAAAAGTAAATAAATCATGCTAAGCGTCCAATACACGTCAACTGGTGAGTCTAATATTCTTTCACAAGTACGCTGATATTATTTATGCCATTTCTGCACTAATGCAGTAGTCTGCATAACAGTAAATCTTATTATTTTTGTGAGAAAAAATCAAAGTGGAAAGCAAAAGAAATTGTAAGAGAGGCCTGGGGACGTGACTAATGAACAGAGTAAATGTTATTTTAGTGCCAGGAATGTCTTTCTTGTTTATTCTGGACCCTATTTGGAAATTGGCATCTTTTGAAATTTGTGTGAAATTGGCTTAATTCTGACCACTTTATTGGATAGTTGAAATCGGTAAATGGGTGGTTTCTTGTATTTATTCGATGGAAAAAACAGAGTTCTAGCGAAATAGTTATGATTTTTGTCGACTAGTACACTGGAATTGGCCGAAAATAGGGCTCAAAGTGGGCAAAATCGCCGATGCGTGAACATCGTCGAGACCGCTAACTTCGCGAAAGCATAATTCCATAAGTTTTTCTGTTATTACTGTTCTTACTGCTGAACAACGGTTTAGTGCCGATGAAGGTAGCGTAGGTAGCAATGATACGGCCGTGGACTAGTTTGGCTTTAATTGGATAGGAGTGAGTACACAACGGGCAGTGTGAGGGAGTGACCGTTAGCCAGTCCGTGGAGGGGCACTTGTGTCTATCAAGTCGGTCGGCCTAGGAGTGAGAGAGGGTGGGCTGTGCCTCCCACTGACCTAGGTAAGCCTACAGAGGGCAGCACCTGAATGCCGCGAAATATGAACTAGTCAGAGCAGACGGCTAGGCTGTGTGCTCTGACAGTACAGGCTGTCTACATTCCATCAAATTTCATACTTTTGGTGTCATTATGATCAGGAAAAGATTCTCTATCTTTTCATGAGAAAAAGTAATTTTTTTTTTTTTTTGAAATTTTGGCGACCCTGAGAACAAGTCTCTGAGAGGGCCTGGCGACCCCCAAAGGGTTAAACTTTCAAATTGAAATAACCATATTCTCTGCGTGACTTTCCTGTTCTTTTTACATACTTGACGAGTCCAGGAGTGTTTTTACACACTGCTGCACCTTTTTTTTTATTTTTGTATGTATTTGTCTCTTACATGGGTGTGAAGCATGGGTGATTAATGTTGCAACAAGGAGAAGGCTGGAGGCAGTGGAGATGTCATGTCTGAGGGCAATGTGTGGTGTGAATATAATGCAGAGAATTCGTAGTTTGGAAATTAGAGGGAGGTGCGGGATTACCACAATTATTATCCAAAGGGCTGAGGAGGGGTTGTCGAGGTGGTTCAGACATGTAGCGAGGATGGAACAAATTAGAATGACTTTGAGAGTGAATAAATCTGTAGTGGAGGGAAGGCAGGGTTGGGGTTGGCTTAGGAAAGGTTGGAGCGAGGGGGTAAAGGAGGTTTTGTGTCAGAGGGGACTGGACTTCCAGCAAGCATGCATGAGTGTGTTAGATAGGAGTGAATGAGGCAAATGGTTTTTAGGACTTGACGTGCTGTTGTATTATGAGCAAGGTAACATTTATGAAGGGATTCAGGAAAACCAGCAGGCCAGACTTGAGTCCTGGAGATGAGAAGTACAGTGCCTGCATTCTGAAGGAGGGGTGTTAATGTTGCAGTTTTATAGCTGTAGTGTGAGTGCACCTCTGGCAGGACAGTGATGGAGTGAATGATGAAAGTTTTCCTTTTTTCAGGCCACCCTGCCTTGGTGGGAGGCGGCCGATGTGTTAATAAAAAAAAATAGTTTCTTCCCTTTTTTCTGCTTTAGTCTTCTAACACTATATACAAGGAATACCTGTGATATTACAATTGTTTCAAGGCTTAATACTCCTCAGAACATGGAAATAGGTCACACCTGTGTAACTTCCAGCCCACTGTAAAACATTTATTTACAAGGTACATGTATTGTTATTGTATTACAATTGTTTCAGGTTGAAATATTCATAGAAACATGGAAATAAGTCACATTACTTGATTATATTGGGTATCCTAGGTTAAATCTACATAGTGTGCTTATTGGCTGAATTCCTCTGTTAGTATCATGAAATTGTAATAAATTGGCAACGTATAAGGCATCTTTCTGACAGTTCACGGTGTTTACTGGTAGGGAAGCTGGTGGTGGGGCAACAGGTCCTGATTGCATTGTTTACTGATTCTAGTTAGGTAGTGTTATCCCATGATACACTGGGTGGAACTACCTGGTCCTAGATTTTTTCAAACGCATAAGGAAGTTGTAGAAGACCCAAGCAGTTGAGCTGAGGTCAAAAAATATTGGCAGGTAGTGTGTTTTAAGGCATGAAAAATTGTACTTACTATTACGTTGGACACAGTCTTCACCCACATACTAGTACATTTGACACAAAAAGGTTTCTGAAACGTTGAGCATTCTTTCCAGAATATGCTATGTACCACAACCAATGGTACTTACTTTGTCCTACTCTTTAATGTGCCCTTACCTCACCTACAGTACATATGCATGGGAATCTACAACAACAAATCATCTAAAGCCAATTGTAATCCTGCAAAATTCTGTCATTAGAACAATCACTCATTTTGATTTCAGACAGCACAGCCCTACTCTTTGAAGATTTGAACCTTCATAATATACAAAATACCCACACACACATTACTGTTCTTATTATTTATTATTATTTATTTTTTTTTTTTTTTATTATCACACTGGCCGATTCCCACCAAGGCAGGGTGGCCCGAAAAAGAAAAACTTTCACCATCATTCACTCCATCACTGTCTTGCCAGAAGGGTGCTTTACACTACAGTTTTTAAACTGCAACATTAACACCCCTCCTTCAGAGTGCAGGCACTGTACTTCCCATCTCCAGGACTCAAGTCCGGCCTGCCGGTTTCCCTGAATCCCTTCATAAATGTTACTTTGCTCACACTCCAACAGCACGTCAAGTATAAAACCATTTGTCTCCATTCACTCCTATCAAACACGCTCACACATCCCTGCTGGAAGTCCAAGCCCCTCGCACACAAAACCTCCTTTACCCCCTCCCTCCAACCCTTCCTAGGCTGACCCCAACCCGCCTTCCTTCCACTACAGACTGATACACTCTTGAAGTCATTCTGTTTCGCTCCATTCTCTCTACATGTCCGAACCACCTCAACAACCCTTCCTCAGCCCTCTGGACAACAGTTTTGGGAATCCCGCACCTCCTCCTAACTTCCAAACTACGAATTCTCTGCATTATATTCACACCACACATTGCCCTCAGACATGACATCTCCACTGCCTCCAGCCTTCTCCTCGCTGCAACATTCATCACCCATGCTTCACACCCATATAAGAGTGTTGGTAAAACTATACTCTCATACATTCCCCTCTTTGCCTCCAAGGACAAAGTTCTTTGTCTCCACAGACTCCTAAGTGCACCACTCACTCTTTTTCCCTCATCAATTCTATGATTCACCTCATCTTTCATAGACCCATCCGCTGACACGTCCACTCCCAAATATCTGAATACGTTCACCTCCTCCATACCCCTCTCCCTCCAATCTGATATTCAATCTTTCATCACCTAATCTTTTGGTTATCCTCATAACCTTACTCTTTCCTGTATTCACCTTTAATTTTCTTCTTTTGCACACCCTAACCAAATTCATCCACCAATCTCTGCAGCTTCTCTTCAGAATCTCCCAAGAGCACAGTGTCATCAGCAAAGAGCAGCTGTGACAACTCCCACTTTGTGTGTGATTCTTTATCTTTTAACTCCACGCCTCTTGCCAAGACCCTCGCATTTACTTCTCTTACAACCCCATCCATAAATATATTAAACAACCACGGTGCCCATCCCCACATCCCTTTTAAAAGGCCAATTTTCCGGGGAAAAAAATTTCCCCTCTTTCCTACATACTCAAACTTAAACCTCATATCCAAAAAAAACCCTTTTTCACTCTTTCGAAACCTTTACCCCCCTACACCATCTTGCAACTTTCTGCCACCCCTGCCCCCTAGCCCCCCCTGTCAACCCCTTTTTTCCAAAATTCCATAAATGCCAAAAAGGACCTCTTTAGCCTTATCTAAATACGGTTCACTTTTATGTTTCACTGTAAACACCTGGTCCACACACCCCCAAAACCCCTTTTTCCCAAAAGCCCCCTTG